GGGACAGATAGAAAGCTGAGGCTGGACAGCCTCTGACCCAAGGCCTCACTCAGCCTGTTATCACCCTAAAAGGCATGGCTCCCGGGACCAGGTAGGGGCAAGTGGCCTCTGTGCCAGCCCTCATCAGCAGCGCTGTCAGCCTGCCTGTAGTGGATCTATGGCTTAGCTCAGTGACACACGTACCTCTGTACCCCACAGCTGGGAGCTCACAGAGACGTAAGCCAGAGTCCTCCAGCACCCCAGTGGGCTTGCAGAGGTGGCATTTTCTGCCGACAGTGCTGGAGGCAGTCCTTGTAAGGGAGAGACGTCAGTGGGATGCTTCAGTCTCCACAAGTGGGTGAAATGCTCGGGCTTCGTCTCCATGTGAGCAAACAGATGCGGAGCACTAGGCTGTGGTCTAGTCATGCCTGGTACTGGCTCAGGCACCTGCAGCCGCTTTCTACCGAACCCAGGGCTTTAGTGTTCGGGATGCAGAATGGAGAGAGTGGTGTGCGTGCTGCCCTTCTGTGTTGTTGATGGAAGGAGTCCATGTTAAGTACAGATGCACACCCAGAAATCAAGCCCTCCCCCATGAGACTGTCACACCCAGAAACCAAGCCCCTCCCCCGTGAGGCTGTGCAGCCTCCCCTGGATTGTGAAGACAGGTACCCTTGAGGGGTGCAAGTGCCACATTCTTGCCTTTCTTAGGCAGCAGGGAGAATAGGAAACAGCAGCAGGGGGCAGCTAGCTCTGCACCCATGAGCCTGAAGAACAGACCAACATTAGACATTAGTCTGCTTGTGAACACACCGATAGGTCTGAATCCACAGAACCTACCTGGGGGCATCGGGGGCACACACACAGCCTGCCAGCACCCTAGGCAGAATGTCTTCTCCTTAGACACCCCCCCCCCCCCCCCCCCGGTTCCTCTGTTAACCTGAAAGGAAAGAATTCCAATGTCCAGGTCACACTCAGAGCAGAAGTCAGCCCTACTGCAGAATGTGGTTACCGTGGTCTCTGGCACAGCACCATGCAAGGAGGGAATAAGTAGGAAATAATGCCAGGGTGGGGTAATGCAGAAGCACGCGATGGTGACTGAGACTTCGGGTCTGTAATCTCTGCTTTTGTCCCAAACAAACGGCCTTGACCATGAACTGAGCCCCAGGGGAGGGGAGGATGGGAAGCCCAGGAAACGAGGCAAAAATGAGCTGCAAACAGAACAAAAAGAAGAGGCACTGTGCCAGTTGTTCGGCCAGCTGGAGGATGCTGGCTCCTGTGGCAATGGGGCCCAGAGTGAGAAGTGGCTGGGCGAGGCTGGGTCAGCAAGCACCCGGCAACCTGGTTGTCCCTCAAGGAAAGGGGCCAGATTCCAGCAGTCAGCATCATGCCCTGTGAGGGCTTCCATATGGTCCAGGCTGGGGAGAGGGGGCGGCAGCGGGAGGGGCGGGGCAGAAGGGAACACAGAGAGAGAGAGACAGAGACAGAGACAGAGAGAGACAGAGACAGAGAGAGAGAGAGAGAGAGAGAGAGAGGGAGAGAGAGAGAGAGAGAGAGAGAGAGAACAGCCAGTGCGAATATTTATACAAACGAGGCTGAGGGAAACAATGTACCCTACACAGCCAAGAGCTAGGCTGATCTGAAATTGGAGAGGGTGATGTATGAACAGGACAGGAGTGGAATGGCTTCACTGGACTATTGATTGGTTCCTTCTGTTATGAATGCATTAAATCTATGTTTGGTACAGTGACCATCACAACAACCTGATAGTTTCTGGGAGGGAGACAACCAAAGGATGCGTTTCAAAAGGAATAGATTTATGATTCTGGGCTTGGAAACATCCCAGGCTCACAGAAGACTCCAGACAACCCAGATAGAGGCAAGCGGTGGGGGGGGGGGGGTCCCTGGTAGTGACAATACGCAGGCATGCCTTCAGTTTAAATCCATTGGGAAGTCTCCCTCCCTGGTGTTTTCCTGGGTATGTTCAACTCGTTTTTTAAGAAGGAAAAAAAAAACCTCAAAAAGACTGTTTTGTGATCTTTTTCATTTGTGGTGTTATGAAAAGGATTAAATTGTAACCATACATTCCCACAATCCCACCCTTTTTCTTAACCCAACACCAAGTACCATTGGAAAGCTCAGGTGTCTAGCCATGTCTTTCTGGACCTCCAAACCTTCTGAAAGGACACCCCAAACTGTTCTCAGAGTGGCTTCCAGGGTGTGGGGCTTAGGGAGAAAGTGGATGAGTGAGGACTTGAGGGTTTCTTTTTGTTTTTCTCCTGTGTTTGTTGGGTTTTCTTTGTTTTGAGTCAGGATCTCCATCTATAGCCCAGGCTGGCTGCAAACGCAAGAGTCAGCTTTCAGCCCCATCACCTGGGCGCTGACGTCACAGGTGTGTTCCACCACACCCAGCTGAATCTTTGAGAACAAGAATGTCCACTGTGTGTAGGATGCGGCTCAGTTGGTAGATCGCTTGCCTGATACCCATGAAGCCCTGGCTTCTGTCTCCAGCGCCACATAAACGAGGGATGCAAAGGCACCTCTTTAATCTTAGCATGCAGGGGGCTCAGAATTTCAAGGTCATCCTTGGTTACGTAGCAAGTTTGAGGCCAGCCTGGGCTATGTGAGATCCTATCTTCAAAAAAAAAAAGGAAAGAAAGCAAAGGAAAAAAAATAGTTTACTTGTGCCATTTAAAAAGATTTTGTAAAAATCTTTTACATAATAAACTAATAAATTATAATAAGTTTATAATTTATTTCTAAATTATAAGTTTATTAATTATAAATTAACAATAAATACATTTATAATTAATAAACTAATTAATTTATTAGAACGCTGGCTGCATTATCACCTGGCTTTTGGGGTGTCCCCTGTTTGCAGGCTGAGAGCCAAGCATCTCACAGCCTCCGTGATGGATACTCCTTTGACAAATCCAGTGGGGTGGGTCCCTGCATTCTGGGGCTAGGGCCATGCGGGTCCCGGGCTGAGGCTAGGGGTCCTGGGGCTGGGGCTGGGGCTGGGTGTTCCCTTTACTCTGTTGCCCTGAGCAGTACACGGGGCGCCTCCTAGCCAGAGCCCACAGCCGTAACTAAATTCTTCCTCTGCCCTCCAGGACCAACTGTCCCTGTAAATACAGTTTTCTGGATAACAAGAAGTTGACACCTCGACGCAATGTCCCCACTTACCCCAAGGTGAGACGGGTTTCTGGTCCAGGGACAATTCTAGCTCTATGCGCCACCACCCCCCCCCCCAGACCCAGGACATGGGAGCCCAGGCTGGCCCCTCACTCTGCGCAGTGATAACAGCCCCTCTCCATTCCTGTCACGGGCGCAGGAAGGGTGGAAAGTTGTCAGGCAGGATATTTTTCTCTTGGACATTTGTTTAGAGAAGCCATTCCAGAGCAGGGGAGGTAATAGCCCTTCTGGCTCCCTCCCGGGCCCGCAACTGACTGTAAAAGACATCTGTGTACAAACATTCCACTAAGGGACTTTAACAAGGTTCTTAATAATCGGCATCGCTGGCTCCCCTGTCCCTGAAGAGCACAGAGTTTTTATGGAAAGCTTTGCACAAAAGTTTTCTGTGTTTTAAAAGCAGCCAAGCCCTGAGTCAAGTAGCTATGACCCGGAGTTAAGTTGTTTCAGATGCCTACAAAGAGTGCCACCTTCTCAGCGATGGCCTCTGCTTAAACCCTGGCTTGCACTTGTGTGTTAAGGTTAGGCCAACCACCCACAGGTTCTCCTGGAAGCCCTCCTAGGTCCCTGGTGCCCACTAGGCAATGATTTGCTCCACATCGGTCCAAGCCTTGCATCCAGGAGATGAACCTCTTTCCACATGGGAAAATATGTTCAACATCTTTTGCGATCCTGTCCAGGGATTACACAACCCAGACCTGGAAAACCTGAGCCAGCCTTCACAACAGTCCCTTCTTAAAAAATGAAGAAGGCTAACCCGAATGGCAGTCTAGAATATCGGCCTTGATTCTGACAGTTCACCCTAAACCTCAGTGCCCAGTGGACCCAACCTCGGCTTGAGGCCTTCATCAGCCAGCGTGTGGCTTAACTTTCCAGGGGTGGTTCCTCACAAGACAAACCCAGCAGAGCTTCTCATCAGGGATTTGAACCTATGTCCAGTGGTCTATTTCCCTTCTCTTCGCTTTATATAGCTTTGACTGTTGAGGTCCGATTGACAGCTGCGGAGCTGTCTTAGACTCTGAACACTGTGAGCTTTGACACATGTAGTCATGAAATTACCGTCACGATAAACAGAGGCAACATTTCCGTCACTCAAATGTCCCTAGGAGTCCCTGGTGCTGGGAGTCCCTAGTAGCCCAGGCCACTACAGATGGGAGCCCTTTGACAGTTTCCAGAGAAAGGCAGCCCTGAGTCTGTATAGTGTCTGTGAGGAGGACTGGAGAATGGAGAGAGTGTTCACTCGGACCTCGGCCACAGCCGCTCTCACTCACAGAAGTCCAACCGTCTGGCTAACACACCACTCCCATCCCTTCCAGTACCTGCTCTCCCCAGAGACCATCGAAGCCCTACGGAAGCCCACCTTCGATGTCTGGCTTTGGGAACCCAACGAGGTAGGTGAGGGACCTCCGGGTTCTCCAGTCACTGGGGACAGCTGCTCAGGACTGTAAATCCTGAATGGGGACTGTGTCTGGGCTAGTCTTCCTGTGTATTTTTTTTCCTCTCTCTTTTTTTTTTTTTAAGTTAAACACCCCTGAAATAAAACCCCAACATTTAAATCAAAATGACACTCGATGTGCTCAAAGGGACACAAGAGACAGAGCCCAAGGCAAAGGGGCTTTACCTGAGCTAAAAAATAAAAAATAAAATAAAAAAAGCAACCCTTGGCCTTCTGATGACACCAAGTGCCCCTGTGCCCCTGTGGCCAGCATCTGAACCCGGGCCCCAGGCTGGGTTCACCCTGTATCTGTAGGAGGCATGGGGAGGTGGAGCTATGCGGAGGCGGAGCCGCTGCTTGGAAGAGCTACTTCCGGCAGAGAGGGGCCTCCTAAGGAGTGTCCTGCTGAGAAGAGCGGCCAGCAGAGGCCCCCGGGCAGCTGGACACAAGATAGTGGCTATGTAAGATTTGCAGAGATGGGAGTCTCTTTTGACAGGAAGATATCCCTTCAAAATTTCTCATTCGCTAAGAATTATCAACATGGAGAAAGAATAAGTCTCCTCCTCGTGGAGAACTCACCAAAACCTGAGGACTCTTCCTAGCTTTTCCAAAGCATAGACTTGTGGATATAGAC